CCTTATGCCTGAAGAAGTGCAGAACACTGCAGTATTTATTTAACCATGGTAATTACCTGGAAGGCAGAGCCAGAACACAGAAAAGGCCCCAAATGTGTATATAATACATGCAGGGCCTCGACATGAGACAACACAAAGTAGGGTCAATTTGGAACAAAATCTTGTGCCTCACATATTTCATAGAGTATCCTATACCAAAACAAAATCCATACATACGCATTTCACAGAAACTACTTACACAAAATTGAATCAGTGGTTGAAAATAAAGGAAAAAAATGCCCTTAAAAACAAAAAACCAAATGTCAAGGGAAACGGGTTACCATACATAAATGTATTTGGGAAATGCTCATTTCAAAAGTTAAGAAGTTAAATTCATTACACCGTTTAAAAATAAAACAGGGTCCAATATCAATGTATTTGATTAGAGCTTTTTCAATGTTTACAGGTGTAAAATAGAACAGGTCTTATTGCTTGTCTTTGGGAAAAAAATACAATCCAGCAAATAAACTATAGCTTGTATTTATAACAATGCTGGCTAACATTAGAAGATGGTAAAGCAATTAAAAACCACTAAAAAAAAATATCACAAGGGGCCCAAAATTGCAAAACTTGCAAAGAAGCATTGCAGGACAGTTACAAAACTGATGATTTATGTATGTGGATTAGAACAGTCTGGATGGGGAAGGGTAGAGAATGAGTCCCACTTAGTACTGCTAAAGAACAGAAAACTATTTCCTTTACACATATCAAAAAACTACAGTATAAAAAGATAAGACTATAATTCACACTGGGGACCATAAAAGGCAAAAATGACAGGGAAAACAGGCAGGCAGTCCTCCAATAAGGCATACATTCATACAATGGATCACTAGACAATGAACAAAAATAATGTTCTGTGTGTTCAATGACAGGTGAAAATGTCTAATTGAGAAAACACCAGAAAATGATTTGTGTTCAAAGAAAAGTTACACACATCTATCTGGTGTGTGCACAGAAAATTTAGACATTTACAAGAGATGGGAGTGGTCCCCTGAAAAAGAGTAGGATTAAACAAGACAGGAAATTTTCACCTTCTACCTTTCTGTAGTAAAAATAAGCATACACTATGTTTGCTCCAACATTAAAGGAAAAAACCACTATAATTATTTTGGGAAAGTGGCTAGAGGACTGCTACCTATATAAACCACACCAATGTAGACATGATCACATCTAAAATGCTTCACCATACTCAGTATGTTAAATGATAAAGTTGTACCTTTTTAAGAGTACAATCACATAACCAAAAAAGAACCACCAAATTTCTTGTGGACACTACTGAAGTCATAATTCACTAACAAAAAGTAAAAATTAAGTCTTGCAAAAGCTATATATTTGCATGTGAGGGTCTAATCCAATCATTATATAGTGTGATCTGTTCAATGTTAAACAACCTCATTTTATATGTACCTCTAGACTACTAACTCCTAGTAAGAGAGACCCAAGGAGTTCTATTTCAATAACAAACTATTTGTAGGAACACCTGGGTGGCTCAGAGGTTGAGCCTCTGCCTTGGGCTCAGGGCATGACCCCAGGTTTGGGAATGAGTCCTGCATTGGGCTCCTGCAGGGAGCCAGCTTCCCTGTCTGCCTGTGTCTCTGCCTCTCTCTCTCTCATGAATAAAATCTTTTAAAAAATAATAAAAATTTAAAAAATTAAAAATTGTTTGTAGAATCTTATGGAGAGATTTATTTTTAAGACATGTCTGCTGTTAAAAGTTTACAACACGAGGGCAAGCCCTGGTGGCTCAGTGGTTTAGCACCACTTTCGGTCCGGGGCCTGATCCTAGAAACCCAGGATCGAGTCTCATGTCGGGTTCCCTGTGTGGAGTCCGCTTCTCCCTCTGTATCTCTGCCTCTCTGTGTGTGTCTCTCATGAATAAATAAATAAAATCTTAAAAGTTTACAACATGAGCCAGGTCATTCCATTTTCTGCTGTATGCCCATCACCTAGAATATAATAAATATAAGTACTCAATACATATTTTGGGGGGGGGTAGGAAAAGTAGGAACAGAGCCTGTGTAAAACTATGAGGCATTATAAATTATGAATTCAAGGAAAACGGGACAAGATTAAAACGTGAAAATAGGTTCCTCTGAATTAAAAAAAAAAAAAAACAACACAGTACTACATGTGACACATGCCTGCAATTTCATTTCTTGCTTCTAACAGTGGAACAGTGACAGCAATATTAAAATCTAAACTATTCAAAGTATTAGGAAAGCTGCCTAATGTCTACTTTAGAATTCATAGTAAGCAGGATACCACACAGTATTTAAAGATGCTACAAATTAGGACAGAAATTTTGACACAAATCCAAAAGGTGTGAGGAAATGAGGCATAGACCAGTAACATAGACCAGTTCCCTAGTTGTTTCAGGGAAGGATGGGCAAATGAGCTGGCTTTGGCTGCTGAGGAAAACCACCTAGGAGTAGTGCTTCTCAAATTATATGTGAGGGACCAGTCTTAACCCCTATATTGTACTCTGTCAAAAACACACTTCTATAAAATATATTTTCCAAAATTACCAGAAAAATGATCATATGTTTTAATGTGATAGCAACATCAAACTGCTATAGAATATAACTATTCTCAATTTCTACACTGGTCCATAGAGAGACACTGTATAACAATGCCTTAGCATTTCGTTTAGTGTTAGTCTCACCTAAAATCTTGCATTTGTCTATAGAGTCTGACTCTGAGTGAAAAAATTCAGTTGTTTTTTATCCCACTAAAAAATGAAGACAATCCACAACAATTAAAAAGTAGCAAAGAGGGACACCTGAGTGGCTCAGTCGGTTGAGTGTATCTACCTTCAGCTCAGGTCATGATCCCAGGGTCAAGGGATCCAGCTCACATTGCATCATCACATCATCCAACTCCCTGCTCAGTGAGGAGCCTACTTCTCCCTCTCCCTTTCCCTCTCTTTGCTGCTCCCCCTGGTTGTGCTCTCTCCCTGTCAAATACATAAAATCTTTAAAAAAAAAAAAAAAATAGCACAGAGACTTGTCATTAACTTGTTTTAATTTTAAAATGTAAAACACTGCATTATCATACTACCTTAGAAAGTTAAAATTATCCTTTTAAATGCAAGCTACAGCATTTAAGAATGTTGACTCCTATCAACTTGAAAATTTTGCTTTATTTTAGAAGACAAGACAGACATGTAAAAGTTGTGTATGAAAATATTCACTTAATTTTTGTAATTCCTTTATCTGTAAACTCCTGTTATCTTTGTCTCCATGTTCTCAAAACTCCCCCAAGTGATTTAGTTGATTGCTAAAAGAGTGAGCCTAGAGGGGCTATTTTAAGTTCCATTACCAGAGGAAGTAAACTGCTGGCCTTTAAATTGACTACAATCTGATGTAACTTACTATATAGCCTGTAAGATAGGCTCTACACTATTTAGAGTCTAATGTGATTAACATTAGAACCAAACCCATTTTGCACCTTCCAAGCTGTAAAGTGACTTACATCCTCATTGCTTCTGTTTTATCTATGAAATGGGGATAAAAGCACCTACATCAAAGGATACTTGTGTAGGTTAAAGTGCATGTAAAGAGCTTGGAACACTCCTTGGCACATAATAAGTAATATATAAGTATTGTAATTATTTAATTCTTACACAGTATAACTCAAATCCTTCTGCAGAACTGGGTTAACAATTAAATTGGTTAAATATGTCGCATCCCTATAATTAATTACAATTCTTCTGTTAAAAGACTTTAATTCTCTATTATGAAAATATATTTATTTATAATCGCCTATTGGACAGGGAGAAAAAAGTTAGAAAATCATATACAGTCTAATCATATTTAGAAAAGAGGCTAATGAAGTTAAGAAAAGTTGCAAATCATTGTAATACTTATGTGGCATCTGCCAAAAGTGACTCAGCAATTTATCATCTTCCCCACCCACTGGGAAAAGACTTAAAATAAAACTGATTATGATTCTAAAATGGTAATAATAAGGATAATCAAATGCATATAAACCAGGTTTTTAAAAAATTTAGAATAATGTGTACATTTAATTCATTATTCCTCCTCCACTCCTGAAAGCTGATGCTTCTTAAAATGGACTGCATCTTAGAATTAGGAAAGAGCATTAATTTCTAATAGATATACTACTCCAATCCCACCCATTGCCAACACACCACAACCACCATCACTTATAAGCAAGCTCCTGAAGTGCTCACAACTACACATATCAACACAGACAATAAATAACCTTAACCAATCACTCAAGCTTAAGCAGCAGATATTAGATATATTCTATTGAGATTATAAACACAAACAATTCAGTATTTTTAGAATACTGAACAAGAGGTGTTTGTGGTATTGAGAATACTTAGATGGTAGCCTGTGGTACCCTTTAAACTGTTTTAAAGTTCTTCAATGAAATCAATACTATTAATTTCATATTTACTTATATAAGACTTTTGTCAAACAACAGTTTTTAATTCATAATCATTTAAAGACAAATTTTCCTCTTATCTAAATTGATTTTCATTCTCTAAGTTGAGCTTACCCTTTTGTCTATAATAGCCATATTTCATTTTACTGCATCTGAAATACACAATTATCTATTATATACAAAGTTTTTCACACGTGCTTTCAAATGCCTAAAAAGAGATCAAGTTTTAAAATTTACATAAAACCATACTACACCAATTTACCAATATAAATATGTCTTCATACCTATTTATTCCATTCTATTTAGACAGCAATACTAACAAAATGTATAAGACCCAACCACCTGTTCTCTTTCCCTATGCTATTATGTTGACACTTAGAAAACAACATCTCAGTTAAGCAACCAAATTTTATAACTACCATTCCTACCAATCAAATGGTAATGCACCAAGATAACAATTCTCTTGAATTTTAACACATTAAGAGTACATTATTTACCTAAGACCGAAGGACTATGCCTTCTTGTATAAATAACAAAGATAGCCAAATCAATTTAATTCCATATATATGATGCTACCTATTCAATTTATTAAAAATTGTAATAAACATAATAATCAAACTAGTGTGCCAAACTTATGCTGTTCAGGTGAAGACACTACAAGAAGACACAATAGAGACTGCCTGGCAATAAGAAGTACAAATTCCTTCTATAGAGATGGAGAAATAAAAGGACAAATCTAGTTGTCTAAAAGACAATTCACTGTACACATTTTATTTACAGTTTTGTACACTGTCTTAATATGAATGGGACCGCTTTTCTACTTGAGCCATTTTTTTTTAACCAAAGCAAAATAACCTAAGTAATACAAAGTGTTAAAATACAGCATAAAGATACAAAAACAGACATACTAACTCTAATTAGGAATGTAATTATGATGTTACATTTTTTATAATCCACAATTATGTTTAGGAAATCACACAAACATAGATCACTGATTTGAATGAAATGCATAAATTTGTACCAAAGCTTTGCAGTTACAAAAAAACAAAAAAAATTACCAAAGAATGCACAAAATTAATGTTTATTCCACCTTTGTGTCATATTCCTGGATCCTTCACCAATGTTACATGAGGAAAAAAACAAAAGCAAAACAAATGAAAAACTGAAATCAGAATCACTAATGTTATCAAGTAGGGAAACAAATAAATTAAAATCTAGCAGCCATCAGCAAGAGTACAGCAAAGACAATGCTGTAAAAAGAAACAAAGAAAATTGCTAGAAAACTGTATGCATCATACTCTTTAAACCAGCAAAATATGCTCCTGCATACAATGGAACATAAACAGAATTTTTTTCCTGTAAGGTATAGAAATGGAAGTTCTTTTTTGAATATTGTGGATGGGCAAAATGTGTTTATATGGTAATTCTACTAAGCTATTACAGAGTGGGCCAGGAACACATTTATGGATTCTGGGGATGATGTGTACTGTTAATTCTTTGATTGGGATAGTGGACACTCTAGCCAAAATAAAAAAAAAATATATATGAACACAGAAGTACAAGACAAAGGTGAATGAGACTTCTCTTATATCTTAGCAACATTTAGATGGAAATCAAATTTAAATGCAGTCCACTCTGCTTTTGAAGAGGCTTTGGTTCAGCTCCCAAATCTCGATTGCTTGACGCAGTCTCCTATGAGAATACTCAGAAGGTGTCTTCTTAAACAACAAACCTATTTTTAGTAGTGGAGCCGCTCTTTGTAGCTGTGTCTGCATGGGACTGATAACCAATCACTATCTTTGGAGGAAGTCCTAACCTTTCCTTGTATACCCTCCTAGAAGAAGAAAAAGAAAAAAGGTAGTCATTAATTTTTATTCACATACACCAAATTTGGTATTCTTGTTCTTTACATAAAAAAAAAAAAGTTCAGAGAGTGAAATAGGAAATTGCACACCTTTTTCCTTTTAGCAAATCTGACTCATTTTCACAACAATCTTGGTTAAACACTTAACCAATATTTGAGACTCCACTATGTTATCAGGTACTATGTAATTACTAATAAATCAATAAGCAAAGCATGGACAGTCCCTGGGTGTTTATAGTATTTGATTATTCACAAACAAATAATCACAAATACATACAGTGGAGCTGCATCGCATGCATAACTCATTTATACAAAATTTATTGCCTATATAGGTCTACTTTAATTCTTTCATCTAAAATGCTACAATTAGGGCAGCCCAGGTGGCTCAGCGGTTTAGCAAGGCCTTCAGTCCAGGGCGTGATCCTGGAGACCTGGGATCGAGTCCCACGTTGGGCTCCCTGCACGGAGCCTGTTTCTCCCTCTGCTTGTGTCCCTGCCTCTCTGTGTCTCTCATGAGTAAATAAATAAAATCTTTTTTAAAAAATAAAATAAAATGCTACAATTATATTTTATATATAAACCATAATAAATATATTACTGCAAATCACATTTACCACAATTACTTTATGATATTTCCAGAGTAATTTAAAACATACATCATTTCTGCCTTATATACTAACTCTGCAACCTAATTTTCAAATAACATGTGACTCTATTTTAAGAACAAACTATGACGAGTGCCAACGTGGGGTAAGTACAGGGGCTGTGATATTGTATAACAAGAATGATCTAATCTTGTCTGTGAAATTAGAGAAATCTCCCCTTTAAAAGTCATGAGGTTAAAAGTAAAATGCTGAGAGAATGAAGCACATCTGAAGGCTGGGGAACTAAATAAGGCTATGTTGGCTACAGCTCATAAAGAAAGGGAGTATGAGTTAAAAAGGTTAAGTAAAACTGAGGCTAGATCACAGAGAGCATCACAGGTAAAGTTAGGGATTTGGACACTTATTCTAAAGAAGACAGCAAACCTTCAAAAATAAGCACCCAAATAAAATAAAAGACATACATTTATACATATTGGAGCTAAATTCTCCAATATGATACTAGGATAGTTTTATTCATACTCATACCTTCCAGAAGATTCTACTACCTTCCTAACAAAGTTTCTAAAAAATAACTTTCTAACTAAAATAACCATTATCAGATTTATATGATGATACAAAGTATTCCCTTCCATTACACTTAATCATAAAAATGCCAGAAAGCCAGAGCACTCAGCCATGTAACTTGGGTAAAAAAAAAAAAAAAAAAAAAAAAAAAAAAAAAATCCTCCATTAAAAAACTGAAGTCAAATATTTCACAAAGATTTCAATAATTTTAAATACTGACACAAATACAATATTTTCAGAGGAAAGAACTTCATACTTATTTTTTAAATTGTTTTTTTTAATTTTTTTTAATTGTTTTTTTTAATAATCAAAACTATTAAGTTTTGATGCTGAAAGGTTAAGAATATGATGACAAATCAACTTCTTTTTTTTTTTTTTAGATTTTATTTATTTATTCATGAAAGACAGAGAGAGAGAGAGGCAGAGACACAGGCAGAGGGAGAAGCAGGCTCCATGCAGGGAGCCTGATGTGGGACTTAATCCCGGGTCTCCAGGATCAGGCCCTGGGCTGAAGGCAGCACTAAACTGCTGAGCCATCCAGGCTGCCCTCAACTTCTCTTTTAGAGAAAACCTGGAAAATCTCCATTATCTTTTAATCTAGAAAGGAATGATGTTCACAGGAGAATTCATATTGTTTGAAAACAATCACGAAGGGCAAACCAAATATTTTGTGACCTATGACCAATACTTAATTTTAACACAAAATTAAAAGTCAAATATTACTAATTTAAAAGTAATAAAAAGAGGATCCCAGTTAATACTGATCAATGCTTGGGAAATAGGGAAATTCCAGGCAATTATTCACCGTGCCCCAAATTTAAAAACTTAAACATGTAGGTTTTTAAAATATGGACACAACTAAAATACTATCACTTAAATGTCACTGAAAATTTTACACACATGTGCACAGAACAGACATTTAAAATATGGACAGAACTAAAATACTATCATTTAAATGTCAGTCACTGAAATTTTTACACACATGTATACAGAATATATACTATTTGCCAATACTCACTGAATTACTATTCCTATGAGTATTGTAATAATGTTACGATTTTAAAGTAGAAAAAAGACTTAATATTCTCATAGGATAAATAAAATGCTACATGCCAAAACAGAATGCTCTGGTCATTGATTACATACTCCATTGCGAGGAAAAAAGAAAAAAAAAATATGGACGAGACAATGAAAACCAATAGAGCAGGTTCAAGATTATAAGTTTTCATGAAAACAATACAAGGAAAATAATGATCTACAAATCCAAGTATTTTTAAAGTTGTAACAGTACTTTGCTTTTAGTTATCTTAATATTTTAAAGGAAGTATAAAAATAGCAAAACTTACCCTATATGTGTAACAGCCTCTCTGTTTTCACATTCAGTAGTCCATATTGCTATCTTATCACCTTTAGCTCTAACATTAACAACAGCTCCACATACATCATCACTGTAGTCATCAAAAGATTCTCCAATAAGGCACAGCAGCTTTAAAAAAATTCAATCCCAAATTACATGAAACAAATTATTCACTGCTTATTAAACTACAAACGTTTCTTATATTTGTATATATACAAAACTGAAAAGTTTTTAAACCAAAAGTTGACTTTTTCAATGTCTAAATTATATTTATGTATATTGTTCTTTGTCCTGACTTTTTAAAGATTCATTTCTTTGTTTAATATCAAGAACATTAACAGTTGATTTTAACTTTTTTTAGCAAATGGGGCAATTGATGTCAGGGCACATATGAAAGGTAAATTATGTTAATATTCAATTGCTCTTCTGCTTCTACTTGCCAGCAAACAAATAATGGAAGGACTGAATAGTTGCGCAAGATTAAATTAACTGCCTCATGATCTTGCTGTTTTTCATGAACACAGGTTTTTTTTTTATTGTGGCAAATATTTATAAAATTTACCATTTTAACCATTTAAATAACGTTTTTTTATTTGAGTATAGACAAAATATGACATTAAATCACTTAACCATTTTTAAGGGTATTGTTCAATGGCATTAAGTATACTGACAACATTGTATAGCTATAACAATCATCCATCTCCTGAACTTTTGTCATCTTACAAAACTGAAATGACTAATTTTTTAAAGTGGAATTCTAAATGGTATTTACTGATAATCTCCAAAAGCAAAATTAAGTTTCTTCATTCAAAAAAAAATTCATGCAAATATTCACTAACTGCTTAACTCATTAAGTGCTAACTATAAATGAGACACTGTGATGAGTGCTACGAATCCAAGAGACTATTATCCCTACTCCTAATAGCTGAGCTTTTAACTTCCCACTATAGAAAATGCCAATTATCTCATATTTAATATATGTCTTAAAAAGCCGGAAGTTTTAGATTATAGTACAATACATAAGGTAAATAATATCAAGCTATGCTTTCATTGTTTGCTTCACTGACCTAAAAAATTTATACACAGTAATGCTCTAAAGAAGGTTGTAAAAACGTACACCATGCAAAATGTGAAGTTCTGCAATTTTGAAGTTAATGATAATGACCAGGAGAAACTTACTGTGGAAGGTGAGAATCAACTACCAATCACTTTATATCTGATATGTAATACGGTATGGGTTTCACTGGACTAGTATGTAAAATATACAATATTCATATGATAGAACAAAACTAATTGCTGGCTTAGATTTTATAGGGTGGGTATGCTCATCTCTTCCGAAGTAACCGATGTAAAATGTAATCCAAATTAAGTTTTTAGTATTCCAAAACTATTTTATAATTTTAAAACCTTACTGTCTCTAGCCAAAAGCGATCCAGGTCACTACGTCTCTGCTGCTTGTTCAATGTAATTAGCCATCGTCCTCCTCGTTTGTTTTTCTCATCTTCCCACATAGGCTCAATACCATCCTACAAGGTTAGTAAGTAACAATATTAGACAAAATTGTTATTTTAATTGAAGAGATCACTAGAAAGAGCAAGCAACAACTCTGTCAACTTCTTGTTTTTTTCTCTTCATAAAACTGCTATTGATGTAGTGGGGGAAAAAAAGCAGGCAGGCCTTAAAATCCAGAGGCATGGGACTACAGAATTAAGAGTCTTGATATAGACACTTACTAGCTATCAAACCTTGAGTTTCTTTTGAGGTTCTTAAACACTGAGTAGCAGATACCCTTAAGAAGCTACATACATGTCTATGATCTAGAAAAATACATGCAAAAATTATGCAATTTCAGGGTTAATGAATGCCCCACCTCCTACCACTTGACAAAACTGATTTATAAATACCCCAAAGACCAATACATCCCAGGTTAAGAATTCTGACAAACTCCAGCCTACTCAAATATATAAAAGAGACTGGACTGGATGAACAAAGCTCTCTTCAAAAATCAATCACACTGTGTGCCCATAAAGTAAGACTCTCAATTTCAATAATCTATAGCAATAGAACAAAATTTGTTTATGTGAAAGCCCAGTAAAACTAATTTAATTATTCTCCAAACCTCAGAGCATTAACTATTCCTAAGTTTCTGACAAGATTTCTTAATGAGTAAATGAACAGTCCAGTCTTGTAATAAATATATGAAATTGCCAGTTAAAGCATACCTTAAAAAGTGAGTAGTCACAGCCAGGCATTAAATTACTAGACAACTGGATGTGGTTGTACAGACTAGGTAAAAGAAAAGGACAATTATAAACATAGAATATGTAATGCAGTTTAGGTACCTACATATACATTTAGAAAATATGATAATAAGATAAAAGTTCATGTTTACTTGTTTTTCTACTGAGTCAATTTCTTTAATGCATCAAACAGGTATCTTAACGGTCAGTTCAAGAATCAGCATTTGATGATTTTCAGGAAAATGTGTTTAATAATTTTATTCTGATAAAAATATATTTTGATATATTTCTTAACTCAATGCATACATATTTATATATAAGAAACTGGGAATAGGAAGCCTGAGGTGGCTTTAAGTACATGAAAGAATTCATGAGGCTAATGAGCAGTTTTAAAGACACACACACAAAAAAAAATCCAGAAAAAGTAAGACAAACTTCCTATCAAGGTTGCATGATTGAAAGAAGACAACACTATTATCCTTGAAGGTATCCTAAACAGACCAATGGGTCTCAAATACTGCAGTCATTACTAGTCAGTCAGCATGGCAATCATTTGGGAAGCTTTGGAAAAAAACAAACAAAAACCACACCAGGCCCTACCCCTTGTGATTTTAATCCCTTAAATACGGGCTAGAACCCTGGAATCTGTATTTCTAAACTTTCCCCAAATATCAATGTAAGTTGGATATTCACTAGCCTGAAAGTAAATATTAAATGCAGAAACATGATCTTTACTACATCTGCAGACCATGGACAATGCTACTATTATCCTTAGTTAGATTCTCTTGATGCTATTTTAACCCAATCTAGAAACATCTCAAGTAGAGTTTTAAGAAAGATTCTGGCATCCTTTGGATCACATCCCACAGGATAACATATAAATCCAGTTTGGGGAAGGTAGAAGAGGACTGAGACCTGTTTAATTATTCAATGGTCACTCTTCCCAAACTACATTACCACTGGCAACTACCACTAGGCAACAAATGAGGCCTGGGTTAGTAACCATAGAATAAGCACAACTTTATGAAATTAATGGACTGTCTTCAATGGCATCCAAGGTAGAAATGACCAATGTTTATGTTGTCTCTTTTCTCCTTTGTGATGCTCTAAGGTCTCTTAGTTAAGTTTATAGTAATAAGAATCTGTAATGACATATTTAAATAGAATCAGAAAACTACAGACAAGACTAGATAAATCCCAAAGGGCTCAACAGCTGTTCACCACAAAATCTGCCAGGAAAAAAGTGAGAAATGAGTAAGTGCTTAGGTATTTACAGAAACCTAAACAATTCCTTCGTATGTCTAAGTCCACTATGCAATAACATTGCTTGTACATAACTAAAGTGTGGGGCCATGTTCTAATTAGAGGTCCACTTAGAAACTCAATTATGAAAATTGGTGAAAAGCCAAACAAACTAGATAAACATAGACCTGATTCAATGGGGAAATGGTTCAAGACTCTTGCTCTTCCTCCTCTATTAGGAGACTGGAGACTTTTTGGTTTAGAAGATTCAAGTAAATACAATTAAAGAAGAAAATCACTTAGTGTTTGATGAAGGGCAAAATACAACAACCCTCTTTAGACAATTAAATCTGTGAATTACTGGTGATTTAAATATAGTTTCATTACTTAAAAAAAAAAAGCCAATGATTTCAATATAAAGTGACTGCTCTTAAAGCGTATAGCTCACAATTTAACAGTTTTCTCTATTTAGTCTATACTCCGCACCCTCTACCCCTGCCCCGGGATTTAAATGCATACTAAATGCCTATTATATGGGCAAATCACTGGAAAGATACAAAAGAATATTGTCTCTACCCTGGAAGAAGTATAGATATATGAATCTTCTGACAATCTGTTCTTTTGGGTGGGCAAAATACATTCAGTGGATTAATATATAAGAAATGCATCACTGATTTAACATATATAGGATCCAAAAATATACTAGATGTACAAACTAGAATTTTTAGATAACTGCTAGTTACTTACACCTCTTAAAAAGGTTTTAACAAGTTTTATCTTTGAAATAAAAATTATTTTTCAAATAAATTAGATATTAAATTAATTGTTTTTGGAGAATACTACAAAACTTCTTGAAGAGACTTTACAATTTTCAATTTTATGTCAAAGTCAAGCAAAGTTTTGACCCCCAAATCTTAATGTTTTGTTAAACCTGAAAAGAAATCTCAAAGATATTACAACTATTCTTCTTGAAATTGATTAATTACCATCACAGATACTTGGACAAACCTGAATTTTGAGCACTTCAGTCTTTAAAAAAAATCGCAGAATCTCTACCACAGGAAATCCCAACTGTTTCACTAAAAAGAATCTGCACAAATGGGAACCTAACAAAGCTCTGGAGTATGGGGCAAAGGTATGGAGTATGGGGCAAAGGTATCTGGGCAATCAAGAAAGGGAACAGGTTCTAAAAAATTGTCAAAAGTTCTAGAAGCAATAAAGGGCTCTTAGGAGAAGGATCTCTTAGGACAAAGAATACAGAATATACACAAGGCTAAAGGATGACAAGACTAAAGCTTTCTAAATGATGAGATATAATCACCAATTCAAACAGTTGTAAGGAGATGGACAAACAAAAGGTAGGTCTATAGATGAATATTTATTAATTGTTTACCTTAGCCTTCATTTTGTGAATGTGACTCAAAATGAAAAATTACACAATTAATTAAACAAACATCCTAAATAGGTTACTTACGCCCAAAAGTCTTCAACAGTATCAAACTTAGAGATCAGCCGAAGGTTTGCTTGCCAAGTTTTGCTTTTATCATTTTTAAAAAACCAGAGTGCCCATCTAAAAGTAAAAAGTCAGTGTCAAACATGGTAGTTTCCATATTCACATTTGTAGCAGCATTCTTCATAACAGCCAAAGGGAGGACACAGCTCAAGTGTCCATTGACAGATAACTAGATAAACAAAATGTGGGTTAAACATACTGTGGGATATGTATCAGACTTAAAAGGCAAATTCTGAAGATGAACCTTAGGGACATTATATTAAATAAGCCAATCAAAAAAAGATAAACAGTATGATTCTACTTGTATGAGGTACCTAAAGTAATCAAATTCATAGAGTAAAATGGCAGGGGCCAGAAGGAAAAGAAATGAACAACTGCTTAATGAGTATAGAGTTTTAGTTTTGTAAGATGAAAAGAATTCTGAACACTGGTTGCACAATAGTACTGACATACTTAACACTACTGAACCAACAATACACTTAAAAAACGGCTAAGATGGTAAATTTTATGTTATGGAGTATTTACCACAATTAAAAATTTACTTTAAAAATAATTTTAAATGGTAATATTAATACAGTGGCAAGTAATGATTAGTTTTCTCTTTCATTTAGAAGTATGTATTTTGTACCTACTGCCCAACCTACTTCGCAGAATCTCTACCATGCTATACTTTAGAGACCCACTGAGGTTCATGCTTCAGAGTAATTCACAGAAATGTAGTAGAGAGACAACAGTGTGCTAAGTGCTATGATAGAAATAACCAAACACTTAAATGAGAAAAATGGAAGCATTTAACCAGAAATGAAAGCGGACAGCAAGAAAGCTGAATTCTCATAGAAATGAAAAAGTATTAGCCAAGAGTGGAAAATGAGACTCCTAAAAAAATGGGGGGAAAAGTATTAAATGCAATTCTGTTTACTCAAACACACAAATGGGAAAATAACAAAATAAAGGGATACATTGAGGAATGCTATCACAGACATGTTCTTAAACAACGTATACTAGTTTCTACGTATCTGTATATACCTGTTAAAATGTTTTATTCTAATATCTGGAAGATAAACTCATGTCACATCAAAGTTATACTTAAATATCCCTAGATAATATCTTCAGTACAGTTATATTGTCTGAATTACTATACCAAAGGTAACGCAAAAGGGAAATTTCACTTTCTCATTGAGAATAAGGTTGTCTGAAGACAGGTTTCCAAACAACTCCCTGATTAATGCCTGGATAATCTGACAAAAAAATGAGATACATTTCAACATCCACTTGATAATGTGAATTTGTCAAGCTGCTACCCAAGGACAAAAAAGAAAAAAGCAAAGGTGTAAAAATTACTAAACATACATGTAATAAGGTCAAATACTATACTCTGGTTTTCCAAAATTAATTAAATCTTTCCTCAAAAAAATAAAACTACCATATCGTCCAGCAATTCCATTTCTGGGTATTTATCCGAAGAAAATGAAAACAATAAATCAAAAAGATATATGCACCACCCTCATGTTCATGCAGCATTATAATAGCCAAGATATAGAAACAACCTCAGTGTCCATAAATGAATGAATAAATGGATAAAGAGAACGTTGTATGTATATAATGGGGTATTATTCACCTATACAAAAAAAAGAAGGAAGAAATCTGTCATTTGTGACACTGGATGGACTTTGAGGGCATATGCTAACTGAAATAAGTCAGAAAAAGAAAGACAAATACCACATGATTTTATTAATATGGGGAATCTTAAAACAGAATACAAACAAAAAACCCAAGGTCATAAATACAGAAAACATATTGTTGGTTGGCAGAGGTAGGGGTTGGGTGAAAACGGGTAAAAAGGGCCAAAAGGTACAAAACTTCCAGTTATAAAATAAAAGTCATGAAGGATATACGATATGGTGACTACAGTTAATGACAATGTATTATGTATATACATAAGTTGCTAAGAGTAAATCTTTTTTTATTTTTTTTTTTTTGCTAAGAGTAAATCTTAAAGAAGTTCTCATGACAAGGAAAAAAACCTTTGTAACTATACATGGTGACAGATATTATAAATACACTTACTGTAGTGATCATTTCACAATATACACAAATACGGAGTCATGCTGTACACCTGAAACTGTTATATGTCAATTAGAACTCAATTAAAAAATAAATCTTTTTTTTTTTTTTTACTGAATCTAGCCATTGAACATATAAAAATTTACCCTAAGAACATAATTAGATGATTAGGCAAAAATGCTTGTATAAAAATGTTCTTAATGTTGGAAAATGTAGGGAAACATATTATGTGCTTTCAACAAGGGATCATTTAAATTCAAGTTATCAAAACGTGGTTTGCAGACCCTTTAAGCTCTGATAAGAACTATTTTCATAATAATGCTAAGACATTATTTTATTTTTCACTGTGTTGACATTGCAATGGTAGGGTAAATCTGCTAGTGTCTTCTTAGCAAGTTCCATACAATGGCACCAAATTATATTAGCAGTCACTGTACCCCTTTGTCTTCACCACCTCTCACAGTAACAAAGTCAGTGGCAGGGCAGCCCCAGTGGCACAGCAGTTTAGTGCCGCCTGCAGCCCAGGGCGTGATTCTGGAGACCCAGGATTGAGTCCCGCATCGGGCTCCCTGCAAGGGGCCTGCTTTCTCCCTCTGCCTGTGTCTCTGCCTGCCTCTCTCTCTTTGAATGAATAAATAAATTTTAAAAAACAAAAACAAAACAAAACAAAAAAGTCAGTGGCAGTTAAGAATGCCACTGATGAAGCAATAATTACTAGTTTCATTAAATTCTAATCTATGTACACCTTTTTCATATTCTGCAAAAATTCAAAAACAACAACAAAAACACTTCTGCATTCCAAAGTACAATCAATGCTTAAGGAACTGAATTGTGAACTAGCCACTTTTTTCATGGAACTCCATTTTAACCATGACTGATAGATAAACCATGGTTATTTCTTAAAAATCAAGAAAGTAAAGACTGATGCTTACAATGTGAGCTTTCAGGAGAAAAATTTTGGGAAGCCTCCATTTGCTACTGCGACAAACTTACTAAGATTTAAGTACACTTGTGAGGAGTTTAGTAGTGGTATTAATGAATGTTACTGTTTTCATACTGTATAATGAAAAGTACCAATACCCAGAAGATCTGCATAATTCACTGAACCAAAGATCTGCATAATTCACTGAACCAATGTTTTCCAGATGAACCCTGGTGTTGCAAAATCATGCATGGATAAAAAAGACCCATTCCAAATGCAAGATAGGCCAGTAGATTCTAATGTAACATAGAAGGAAAGGTTCTTGGATATGGTTTCAGATTCTCCATTGCAGTTGACCTACAAAAAAACTATTATCAAAGGAGAATACATATAATTATCTTAAAAGGCTATTAAAAAACCTTCCTTTTCCAACCATGTACTTGTATGAGGTCCTATATTCTTATACTCTCTATGAAACAACCTATCTCCTTCACAGACTGAATGTAGAAACAGTTATGAAAATACATACCACTAATTTCTATTGTCAGGCACCTGAGATTTATAAAAATGCAAAAATGCCTTTCTTCCCACCATATTTTTAAACATTTTTTCATAAAACTATTTGTTAACATGCAATGGATTTTCTAAATGAATATATAATTTTACATTTTCTCAGGTTACTTTCTAACATACTAAATGGAAATAGATAAAAATCTATATAACCAAAGCTCTGTGGAGTCCTCAGTAACTTTAAGATTTTATTTACTCATGAGAGACACACACACACAGAGAGAGAGAGGCAGAGACATAGGCAGAGGAAGAAGCAGGCTTCATGTAGGAAGCCTGATGTGGGACTTGATCCCGGGAATCCAGGATCACACCCTGGGCCAAAGGTCAACTGCTGAGCCACCCAGGGGTCCTGTCCTCAGTAACTTAAGAGTATAAAAAGGTCATGAAACCAAAAATTTGAGAACTGCTGACTTAAATAAAATACACCCATAAAAGAGACTGCTGTGCAACTATTGAAAAGAATAATTATGTGGGTAAAGTTATTCTTAAGATGGGCATGAAACTCAGAAGCCATGGAGGAAAGGTGATACTACGCTACATAAAAATCTAAAACATGTAACAAACATATAATTGCACAATGTTAAAAGACAAATGATTTGGGTTTTTTTTGCTTTTTAAAGATTTTTATTTATTAATTCATGAGAGACACAGAGGCAGAGACACAAGCAGAGGGAGAAGCAGGCTCCATGCAGGGAGCCCGATGTGGGACTCAATCCCGGGACTCCAGGATCATGCCCTGGGCCAAAGACAGGGACTAAACTGCTGAGCCACCCAAGGCTCTCCAAGACAAATGATTTTGGATAATGCATTTTCAACCTAATGCCTTACATGGCTAAGTTAGCATCCCTAATTAGAATGCTTGGAAATAAACTTTATTTTCTCTTTAAGACTTCTTTAGAGAGATGGAAAGTTGGGTGGGGAGTAGGGCAGAGGGAGATGGGGATAATCTCAAACTCAGCAAGAAGCCCAATCTAGGGCTTGATCTCACAACTCTGAGATCACAACCTGAGCCAAAATCAGAAGAGGGACACTTAACTGACTGAGCCACCCAAGCACTCCGGAAATAAACTTTAAAGAATACCCGCCACCTACTCCTAGACAAAAGAACTGAGCAGACTGTCCAGAGATAAAAAACAAAAATGATCAATATATATGAAACGGCTTAGCAATGTCAATAAAAGAAAATTTAAAATAAGACACTGTCCACATATAAAAACAAAAATGACTGATATATGAAACAGTTTTGCAATGTCAATAAAAGAAATGCAAATGTAAAATGATAAGACATTGTTTTTATAAATCAGACTAGGACCAACCAACTGGCAAAGATGCAGAAACCAGGAACTCTCAAACTGCTAAGAGCCTAAGCTGATAAAAGGAGGATAATTTGGCAATTATCTATTAAGGTTATTAGAGCATAGTCTTTAACCTAAGAAATCTGAAATTTTATCTTATATTCACACAAGTGTACAAAAAACATAAATATGCATAAATTACAACA